GGGGGGTACAACCGCCCCTAATTTACGCCCATGCTTTTAATGTAGATTATTTTAGGTTTACAGTGGAATAATATAGACTTGCATGAGCGTGAGAATCTGAAAGCGTGAGGGTCACGTGATGCTAGATGCGCGAGTTGGCAACCCTGGCGGGGCGGGCGCGGGCATGACTCACCTGCGAGAGGCCCAAGTAGATGGACACAGTTTCGGATATGTAGAGAAAGCGACCCTCGTGACTGACCACGAACACGAAACCATCCAGCGACTGGAGGAAAGGACACGGAGACGCCCATTAAAATCAACAAATCACTCTAATTAACTTCTCACTGTCATCACTTATATGACGGCGGATATCAAAATGGGTAAGGTTAATGGACGTGTGCTGCTGATGATCTGTGACCGCCCTGGGGGGGCGGCATTACAAAGGTTACTAATTCCGCTACCTTCCCCCAGAAACGCCCGAAGGACGACAAACAGCGTGGGCAGTGCGAGTAGCCAACCACCACGGTAGGTTTTATAGTATATATACCTTCAAAATATAAACAGAAGAGATGTGGTGAGCGACGACACTGTCAGAATAGTTTTTTGGGGAAAAAGCACATTAATGATAATAGCAAGCACCCACCAAGAGAGGGGTGAAGAGAGGTAGTCGCTTTGGCGGGGGGGAATGATTGCTATTTTTGCGGAGACGCTTAAAGTGGCGATAATTTATGCAACCACACATTCGGTATGCAAATTCAAGTGGACGGGTTGCGGGAGCCACAAGCCGCCTGAATCACCGGGAAATAAAGTGTAATTATCTAGTTATTACTGACAGAGCACGCGGGGAACGAAAGAGGCGCGCCGCTTTCCAGAGCCGTAATTTGACGTCCGTCCGCGCGCTCCTTCCACCCGCGCGCCACTCCTGTCTCGCGCACACACGCACGCTCCCCCCCTCCATTACCGGGTTTTCCACATTTGCCGCATTCCGTTTGTGCCCACTGAGAATTTGACGGGTCACGATTAAAAGACGTACGTCTCCGCGCCTACCTTGCCAGACTACCTTCAGAAACATGCCACTTTCATTCCGAAGAAATAAGGGACACCACCACCCCCCACCCCCGCCGGGTCACCGACGATATGATTTGCCGAGAGAAGTGGTCCCCTACGATTAAAAAAAAATTAAAATCGATGGGGCTGCAATGCAGGGCGTATTGCACACGAAAAATATGGGACAGGCTGCAACTCTGATCTGATGGGGGAATTTCTCAGTGTCCTCAACATTTAAAGACCGTTTGTGCATCTTCTTTAAGTTATACTAGTGTTTCTCAAGCCAGTCCTTGGGGCACACTGGACAGATCCACATTTTTGTTTTATCCCGTTCCCAGAACATCTGACCAAAACAATCAGGAGCATTTTAATACCTTACAGGTGTGCTGGGAACTGTGGATCTGTCCAGTGTTCCCCAAAGACTGGTTTGGGAAACACTGGGTTAGGAAAATCAAATAATGACATTAAAAATGAAACCAAAAATAAGCCATCTATCACTACAAACTGTTGTGTTCAGAGATGGTAGCTGGGAGGGGGTTAGTGTTTCAGGGATGGGGTGTCCTTCATTACCTGCAGCACGTGGGCTCCTAGGTGTTGTTCAAACATGTCAGTGGCCAGGGAGCGTGAACTGCGGTGCACTGGGGAAAGAGACACAAAGGAATGCACAGGTTAGGGAGGTTAGGGAAACATGTGACTTTTGACCTGTTAGCATCCCACACAGACTTGGTACTAATTGGTACTAATCAGGACTTCAATGCTAGTCTATAGAGCCTACATGTTTTGGAAACCCAGCACCGAGTTTTGCCTTGATATAGCGCCCTACGTTAAGGTTTCCCAACCCCCGGTACCGGTCTGCGGCCAGTTTTGCGGAATGCTGCAGAATGCTTGGGGTATATAGAGGGGTTGGTTAATTTACAAAAAATAACGAGACTTACATATTTTCAGTTTTTTACGACACCTCACGTTAACATTTTGCTTACATCTGATAAAAATTGGAACAAACTAATGAAATCACCAATCGTCCCCCTGCCCCCCCCTGAGCTGTTTTACCACAGATGAGGGTTTCTACCGAATAAATGCACAAAACCCTCGTCTCTTCTGCAACGCCCCCATTTCAACATTTCAGGCAACATCAACAGGCATCTGCCCAATTAGCAAAAATGGACTGAGGTTTCTCGCAACGGGAGAGGCACACTATCACGGCCTTGGCGTTTCAGTCTGTTTCAAAACGTTAGACCTTGGCTCGTTAAACCATTGACACGCTTTTCCAACAGCGTGCTGGAACTGTAAGGCGTCAAAAGGGGCATCTTTTTGGGCGTCCGTCGCTGGCAGGGCTTAGGAACCCAGCAAACTCCCATTTGTTTGAAATAAAAAAAAAAAAGGCAGTAAGGAAGGCGCCGGGCGGAAGGACCTCTCTGTCGCTCATTGTGTCTCGCTTCTGTATGCGTGTCGAGCCGGGGTCTGCTAGTCCGGACCCGCACAAACAACACGCACAGCTGTGTGACAAAGCCCACTGCCTTTGTGCACTGGGGGTCCCCTCACCAACCGGCCCCAACCTCCCCACAGGAACCGTGCGTGAATATAAATGAGCCCCTCCATTCAAAGACCTCAAAGGGGGTCTGGAAAGGGACTGGAGCTGTGACTTGGGGAGCAGGGGGGGGGGGGGTGGGGGCAGCCATCCTCTGAGGTCACGTAGGCTGGCTCAGCGGGTGACTGACGAGCCCCTGTAACCCCTCTCCTCTGCCACCAGAGCAGTGCACTATATATGTTTCCTGCCCGTGTTGAGATGAATACCGTCACACAGGTATAGGCGACAGCCTAAACGACATTCAACTATGGCTCCCGATTGGTGGATCGTGGGGCTTTCTGAGCTTTCGGATAGGCTGCTGCAAAAGGGCAGCCGTGTAGGCAGCAACAAGGGCAAATGGGCACGCACCGCTATGCCAGTTTGGAAGAGAAAATGAAGAGTCACTGTTAATGGAAGTGCTGGGGTCACATGATGGTGATTTCAGTCATACGCAGTTGCACCAGGGCATCTTCTCAATTAAATCTGAGCTTCTACTGTCTCTGTTTCCCAATCGTACTTCAGTTTTTATCCGAGTTAATGTTATTCCAGAGGTAGATAGGAGAAAGTATAAGTCACACTCTAATGGCAGGCTTTATCTGTAAGTTTTGTCAACTTAGTTGTCTTTTTCAAATTAAAGCCTGATTGCAGCACCTCTCATTAACTGGAATGCAGCACCAGTGACCCCACCCCCACCGTACAGCTGCTGCTACAGAAATGGACAGGGTTGAACCACATTGACAGAGAGAGAACGACCCTAATCGCCATGTCCTTCTCCCCCTGCAATTATCCTTTCACCCCCAGCTCCTTCTGCGGTCGAACATAATTTGAGTGCAATTAACGTCCCTTAAAAGCCCTCGCCACTTTAAACGGCAGGGAATTATCATGAGGCAGACGTCGAATGGGAGAGAGGAAGACAGGGGAAGGAGTGCCTAAAAGAGAGAGGAAGATGGACAAGGAGAGGGAGAGGAAGCTGTGAGGTGGGGTGGGGTGGGGTGAGGGGGGGTTTGGGCTGACCAGAACGAGGTGACAGGAACTGGAGAATTAAAGGGGGTTCCGTCTGTAACACCTGTAAATGATATTCATGTTTCCAAACTGCAGCCGGACTGGTGTAGAGCGCAGTCTAATCCGGTGTCGCTTCCAGCCAGACGCAAAGTGGATTTAAATAAGACAGGTGCTCTAACAAGCCAGGCCGGTGGTGGAAGTGGGACAGAATAAATGAAACTCATCGCCGTGGCTCATCCGAAATTATCCCGTCATTTTGCGAAGATCGACATAAGTCTGGGTTGCTCATATAGTAATATAAAGCCATCTCTGCAACCAAGCTGAGCAAGATTCCAGCACGGTGATGATTCCCATCCTCTGCCTGATACATGTTGAATATGTTTGGCTACTATCTATCCTGGATTAATGGTGGGAATTTTGCTTGTTTGTGATTCATGATGTAAGAACTGGCCGGCTTTTTTTCATTCAGGGATATTTCTAGATGCCTCACACTTCTGGTGCACATGTGAATCTGTCTGTACTTGTTTCCTTACATCTTTTTTAGTGCTGATATCCTAGCTGGTTTAGTCACCCTCATTATGTGTGCTAACCGCCCGCCCCCCAGTCCTCACCCCTTCCCCCTCTCCACAAACACATAGAGAGAATAAAAATGCCATAAAGTGCCTCTGTGCCATTCTACACCCCCATCTTCCCCCCGCCCCCCTCCCTCCTCCCGCTCCATGTCTCTCTCTCTATCTCTCGCCATGTGAAGGTCATACAATTGATTTTCCTCTGTCTATTCATTTTTCAAGACTGGCCTTAAAACGTGCAAAGCAGACAAAAGGCAGACTGCACCCCCCACCTCCGCCAATCTCATGCTCCCCCCCCCCCCCCCGTCTCCACACCCCCTAGAGACAGAGGGTTTGGGGGTGTCCACTGCGAGTCTTTCAGATTTCTTCAGTGTCGCTGCCGAACTTGAGGCTGAATTCCGCCAGTGTTGGCAAAATGACATACCGCATAATTATCAATGGCAAATAAAACTTGCCAATAAACTGAGCGCAATAGTGGATCTTGGAAAATATTTTTGGAGAATGTTTGACCCAATCTCTGTTTGACAAGACAATAAAGAAACAAAAACATAATTGGACAGTAAATTATCTACACTACAGTTTCAAAATGGCTGCTAACTTAAATATTATTATTGTGAAATTTAGCAATCAAAAATAAAGTTTAAACAGCAAAGAAAAGCAAGCCAATGCTTGATGTACCTTTTATTTAAATTACTTTTAGTTTTAATATTGGCGTGAAGAAGAACTACTTGCTTAACTTACTGGAATGAAGGTACTCAGCATTACAGGAGTAACTGAATTCTTTTCTCAAATAATGTCTATAGTTAGATTATTCAGGTTTAAATAAGCGTATAGGTTTGATTTCTTCAGTACCTACAGCATAGATGCAATGAGACTATTCTGGTTTTCCAAAAGCATAGTTGCTAACAACGTTAGCAACTTACATAGTTGGAACCATACAGCTAAACAATACCATGAAAGATGCTAATGAGAGCTTTTGGGGAAGCACACTTCTGGTTGCTTTATTACGGAGCTTTAAAAAAAAAAAGCCTGTGAAGTAAAATGGCCCTTCTTCTCCGTAAGCTGTCCTGCTTCTTCCAAGTATAGTGAGTGTTGCGTATTTTGGCCCATATTTTTGGACATATATTGTGTGTGTACATTACATCATTCCGCTGTCATTTACTCCTTCATCTGACACTTTTATCCACAGTGGTTTACAGTAGCGGGAAGGGCTATAGTTTACACGCGCATCCTGGCATTTGATCCCATGGCTTTTGTATTAATAGCACAATACGCTACTTGTTGAGCTACAGTATGCCAGACACACTAGCACATTTAGTTAAACAATCCCCTGTTTCTACAAATCTGTGTTAGACTGCCATGGCGCTCCTTCATAAAACACACACTCACACACCTGCAGAATGATGGATTTCTCCTAGAGGTGTCCGTTTTGTGCTGTGCATACACTCTAGTCCAGGGTTATTCAACTCACGGTCCTTCGAAGGTCCGAGCACTGCTGGTTTTCCAGCCTTCCTTTACCTGTCAGTCAGGCGTGAAGCCTCTGACCAATCAGAATCAGTAATTATTAAACAACTACCTGGGAGAACTGAAAACACGGCCTGGATTTGGAATCGAGGTCCAGAGTTGAAGAACCCTGCTCTAGTCGCTGCTCAATTGTTTCTCCTCAGTAATAATAGCAATTAGACAACCCTTGTAATTATGCTCTCCTTGTTATGTCGTTAATTTCTGTAATTACAAATTGGGAAGATTATATTCTCTCTCTAGCTACAACATCCCTTGGATTTGAATGTTGAAAAACAATCCATGGGTGTACTTGTGGTAAAGTAGAATGCGTGGGCAGTGTTTGTTTGTGTAAAGGGACTCAATTGGGAAATAATGAGCTGAATTCAGCAGTGAGTGATGCCAGCTTAAGTTGAAGCAAAAAACTTCACATTGAATGTAAACCATTTCCTGTACATGTGCATGTAGCTTTTTACAATGAACTCTAAAAGTAAAGTGCACTTAAAAGCAAACCTACCCTTGGTGCAGTTTGATCCTCCTTCCAGTAGGGGTCCCCAGGGTGGGTCACCATGGTTGGCGAAGTGGCGCATGTGCAGGTAACTGATGGTGAGCCGGATGACAGATGCCTTGTCCAGCTGACTGGTGATGGCACCAGGCAGGGGCAGCAACTTAGCAAGTTCAAAGAATTCAAAGTTCTCCTTCCCACGTCTGGAGCGTGCGGCATTCCGAGATTTCTCTTTCCGCAGGTTCTGTAAGCTGAATAATTACAGAGAAAATGAAGAGTAAGAGAAAACAAGAAGGACAGAGTTTTTATTAATAACAAAAAAAAAAACTAGCCATTTACGCAATAAGATGAAAAACGAGATGAGATTTTCTTTCACTGTTTATCAAATCCAGGGTTGCAGTGACTTTGAAGCCTATCCCAGGACACACCCTGGATAAGATGTCAGTCTGTCACTGTTCACCAACACACTTAAACACTTAATCACAATTTAAGGGCAATTTAAGAACACCAATCCACATGTCTTGGAAGGAAGCCAGAGTCCCAACAGGATTCAGAGAGGATAGGAACCCCTCCCCCCCCCCACACACAGAGCCAAGGACAGAAACCGACCTATAAGGCAAAAGCAGTGAGGCCACAGTGAAACCCGCTCAGTCACAAAGCCTGATAAAATAATAAATTACTGAGTATCTAACAGAAATGTTTCACGTGTCATTTTAAAGGTTCAACAGCAATCTAAAACAGAAGTAGAAGGTTATTGTTGATTCTCTCTTTCAGAGATAATTATTCAATTAATTACAGCACTTTACTCTGGAGGTATTCTAATGTTACAAACAGTAAGGTGTCTCAAATTTACATACACACAGAAAATAATATCCTGTAATCACAGCAGCACCTTCACTACAAATGGGAATTTCATCAAAATGATCTTTTCCACTATGCTTACTTTCCATAGATAGGAGTCCAGTAATTCTATTTCTATGCCTTCATTCCCTGTGCGACACTCCGTATCCGTGATTGAGGGATCAATGGAAGGGTGTCTGTGATACAGCATGATAGTCTGACACAGTGATTGGACATCGACTTCTCTCAACATGGCTTCAGAGTGGCAGAATTATGTTGTCGTGGTGACTATACAATTTGTGTCCCTTTAGAACAAAGAAACGACGTCTCCAAATGCTTGTATCATTGATTTTGATTCAAGGGCCGGAGGAGAGCGATGACAGATTACATGTGTATATATTTCTGCATTTTCCTGAGTGTGTGTATACATGCTTGTGAGGGCTTTTTAAAGCCTGAACTTGGTCGGTCCATATGTATCAGTCTGTAATTTTTTTTTTTTTTTCTCGAAATATTGACTTCACTGCTTCATATAACAGGCTCTTAAAGAACATTTCAATATAATATGGACTTGGCTCATGGAGAGTACAATCAATGGCTTCCCATTGACTTTAAACAGTATTTATATCCTCCTATAAATGACGGGATGTTAATAATTCCAGGCAAATGCAGTTAATCTCCTGCTAATAAAATGGATCTCATTGCCAAGATGAGAGCAGAACACAAAAGCTTGTAATCCTAGCCAATCCTGAGAGAGCAGAAACCCCACCATTGAACCGGTGGGCAGCCCACACAGTTCAGGCAAAGCAGTTTGTCCATATCAGTAAGTAATGGGCCTGCATGATATGTCATGTTAATATTGTTAATATCATATGATACGCACATGTAGTTGTCACATTGCAAAGACCGCAGAAGTCAACTGGGTTGAGACCATCATCGATAAGTGCCCCAAAACATTTTCACTCTGTCGTAGGAGGCAAAAACTGCGATTTTAATGATTGCTCCTTATCAAGATTATCTAGTGTATGTTTTTAACAAATCAGTCTAAAGTTTACTGTCACTGCGTTTGCATGAGCTCTCCAAGCCATTCGTAATCATTTTCATCCTTGCTGTTGGTGAACAAGAACTGGTAAACGGACATGAAAATATTTTGGATTCCTTAGTCGATATCCAGCAAAAGTGAGTGATTTGTCAGCACTGCTTTCTGTCTATTGGCAATGCCACCAACTCATTTGTCAGATTCTATTGGTAGATAAGTTCTTTTTGGCTATAGTTCATTTTTACCTTTTTTGTTTGATAAATATCGCAATATTATCACAGAAATTTGAAATATCACAATGTGAATTTCATTCAATACCATTCAGGTCCACTAGGTAAGGTGAGGCAGAGGCGTACTGGTCGCTCTCACCATGGTAAGGTTGGCGGCTTGGCCAGAAGCCCCTGCAGGAAGTCCCACTCCACGCTGACACACTTCCCCTCGCCGACAAACGGCATGGTGGCCATCCCAGGACACTCTGGCTGCCACCCTTAGCGTGACGTGGGAGCGAGCGGCACTGTGCTGTGGCCAGACCTCCTGCGGGGGGGGGGGGGACAGAGAGTTAGGTGAAGGGAGAAGGAAGATGGGTGAGAATAAGACAAGGAACAAAGGATGTGAATGTGAAGAGCACTTCCTGAACGTTGACTCCCAAGGACTTAGGTTTGGTTTCAACATCAGCCCCGAACCCCCGCCCCCCTGAACACACACGGTACTTCCAAAGTACTGGTAGAGACCATACTGTCTATACCGAAATCTACACCCTTGTTGGCTCATCCTGTCCTATTAACCCTTCTGTTGATGTTTCAACTTTCTCCCCTACCGTCTTAAAATTAAGTGACATTAGAACAGTTGTGGAACCACATTTCTAGGGGAAGTAAAGATAGATTAACATGGCTGCCAATGGTTCCTGGGTCCCAGTCTGTGTAATTTGTGCCTAGAGTGGGCACCCGCACATTCCCACACCTCCCAGTGCCAGCTGGACGGCCTCCCTGTCCCACCTCCCATCTCCTCAGCCCGGCTGACCTTTAAAGGGCCAGCGCAGCCCCCGGCATCCTGGTGGCCGGCTGCGGGCGAGAACTGCCCTCTCGCCAGGTCTGGGTCAGTGGTATTAGCGTGGCCACGCCCCCTGCACCCCTCCCATTTAGGTCATGCTGAGGGCCACACCCACAATAACAGCAGCAACAAAACATGAGAAAACAACATAATTTAGAAGGAAAAACTCCATGTGATTAAATAGAAACAAATTTCTGCCTTGACCTCCATATCTAATCTACATCTCTCGGCTTGTCCTCCGCTGTTATCTATATAAACGTCCCGCGGTCACTCACTGTAATTGTTCACTTGATTTCTCAGCCCTTGCTCAGTTTTTAGGAACCATTTGGCATGATGGGAATCACTCGCACCGTCCACCAGAACGGCCAATGGCAGCAGCATTTTTTTTTTAAACTTTCACAAAAAGATCTTTTCCCCCTATTTTCTATGGTGAGAAGGAGGGGCCTGATCTATCATAGAAGATCTCTATCTTCTATCTTGATAGGAAACTGTAAACAGATAGAATAGATAGTCTTGAGAGGAGAAGTGATCAGGCTTTACCTATAATGTCCTCCCTGCCTGCTCTTGAGTCCCTGTGCAGCTTCCTCCGGCTAATAAGATGCGGTACCTCAGCTAATAAAAATGTCACAAGTTCCCTGGCACCGGCGCGGGGACCGTGTGTCTGGGTCGCCCGCTCGGCTCGCTGCCAGGCCCTCCCTCCGTCCGCCACGCCGCCGCGCTCCCCGTCATTTAAATAGGCGCATCGCGATTTGGCTCAATTACCGCTTGTTTTCAAGGGGGAATTGTTAATTAGGGCCTCCAGCTGTCGGAGCTTCGTTAGCAAGCCACGCCCCCCCCACTCCCCCCTTCCAGCCAGCCCTGGATTGGGAAATGCAACCTGGGGACGTAAACACGTCTGAAACGGCCGGGTCCCCCTCATCCGCATCCCGGGAACAATGTTTCTGCGTTCCGCCGTTTCCGTACATCTCTGCTGAAGCCAGCAGGCGCATCGACTGATGTCCAAAATCGGATTTCCATCCTCTAAATGACACATTCAGTGGATCCGCCGTGCACCCTGATCTTCAGGAACTACAGGATGCAACAGACAGCAAGCAATCCATCCATTTTCTGAACATCCTATACAGGGTCAAAGGAGCTCAGAGTCTATCCTGGATGCTACCTGTTTCGGAAAAACCCAGGACGGGACGCCAAAAACTCAATCCAAAGATCTCCTAGCAGACTGGGTTGCCTTTGCACGGCATTCACAGACATTAACAAGTAGTAAAGCTATGATGTCAGTAACCCTGTAGGCAACAAAAGCCCCTATAATTGTACTATATTGATGTTCTAACATATGCGATTTGCATGTATTACATATAATCTAAATCTGGTTGCTCTGGACCTACTGAGTGAATATATTTAAATTTGAATTGGCTGTAGATGTTTAGTCTAAATTGGCACTGGTACTGAAAATGATATCTTACTATAGTTCTTTGGTTTGTGCCATTTAATAGACTTTATTTTTAATCCGTTTTAAATACATTTCTGAAAGACAGTTTGGTCTGAAACTGAGAAAATGCTCCTAGCTTTGGACCCAGCCAAAATTGGTTCAGCGACGTAAATCGGACCCAAGGATCCTTAGAATCCGAGGTCCGGCACGCCTGTGAATGCAGAGAGGACTGGAGCAGAGCGAAAGGGGACCAGGGATCTGCTCGGTGGATCCCAACACTGGGGGATTGCCGCTTTTAAATCACTGATCAGCAAAAGCACACGCATCTCACTTGCACGAAATTAAAGCAGAACCTCTCGGACTGCAAATAGAAACAGCGCGCACGTATACATGAACTGGACTGAAGCACATCAGACTTAACAGCATGGTTGAGGAATTTAAACACAGATACGCTTTTGGGACAAATATTTTTAGAAGCTTCTGTCCAAAATATACAATGTGACTCCTGGATTGTCTGATTCTGCTCCAGCGCAGCAGCATGACTGAAGCCCTTATTTGGGAGCAGGAATGTAGAAAACGCTCCACCTCAACCGAGGCGCGCCCCGCTTTTCCATCCAGCCACGCTATTCATTATCCGCCCGAATCAATAAAAGGCGCGATTAAATCCGCATTAACCTCTTCCTTCCAAAAAAGGGAAGCCGGAGAACTATAAAACTTGATGGAGATCTCGACTGTTCCTCAACCTCCCCGGCCGGGAGAAAATGAGATAGAGCCACTGATTGATTTGCACATAAATGGAAAGAGATGAACTGTTGCCTAAGATGTTGGATTTCGGTGATTATTATCGCTGGTAATGATTCATAACGTGAACGCTGAATGCGGGGTGTTTTGCTCATGTAGCCAGCGGATAGCGTTCGAGTTTCGAGACACACTGAGCCGCATTTAGCATCTGTCCGGAGGAAGAGCGACGGCTCGTTCGTGCATGAAAATGCAAACGTGACAGTGAGCATCCTTCTGGCTGATTACGGCTGACAAATTGATACCAACCTATCGACTGGGGAAAATAACATGTATACAGGTCGTTGTGTGTAGGCACAGGGCAGGAGATGGGTGTCATCACACTGGGGAGACACTGTTGTTCAAGAACAGGCCGTATCCCCCCACCCCCCAACAACATCACCTTCAGCCTGTTTTCAACCAATAACATCACAGCCCTCGTTCACTTCGATGTACAGTACACGAGCAGAGATGCCTAAGGAGTTGAAGTTGCCGTTACCTAAGTCCTATGTGTGTGTGTGTGTGTGTGTGTGTGCGAGTGTGTGTGTGCGCGCATGTCCTCTACCTGACAGCTCTGTGAGTGGCAGCAGAGGTTACATAAGGAGCCACAGTGGGTCAGAGTGGACAGGCAGAGTGGAGACGGGGTCAGCGGGCTGTGAAACGGAGCAGGCTGGCGCTGACACTCACGATCAACCTCCTATCTGTCTATCTGCCGGCTGCTGGAGCCGTTGGTCTGGATCACACCGGTCTGCGTTCTCCTGTCCTGCCTCTGATCCTGACCTTCACCCATGCATTTTTTCCCCCTAGTACATTCAACACATGTACACCTCACGGCTAACGTCAGCCCTGTCAAACTCACTGTAAGAAATCCAACGGACACATCAAACATACAGATATCTCCCGGGTCCCCAAAATAATGGGAGCACCAAAGATAGAGGTGGCTCCATACTCGGCAAGCGAAAACACACCCAGCCTAAAAGTCATACGTGATCTCAGATCCTGACTCAGGACCTACGCAGCAAGTTTTAACATCAAAGAACCTGTAGATCGGTTGCCTCTCCTGCATCCGTATTCACGTACTTTGATGGTTCGCAGTCTGTCAGCTCATTAACCTTTGCCTTCTACCTGCAGCCATTTAATTCCGATAAAGACGCCATCAATTTCAAGATAAATAGAAACACGCATGTGCTCATCGAATCCCGATGTCCCGTCAGCTTGTTCTAAAGCTTTTCTGCTTAAAAGATGAATGACCAACTCATGCAGTAATATATTAAGCGCTTTCCTCTTGTCTCTCTCTACAGGCATTGGTAAAAGCTAGTGGTTGCTTGTCACCCCCTACTTGGAACCACCTGTTAGTGCCACAAAAGAGATTTAGATTGTATCATCTCATAGGTTTGCTAGATTATCACAGCTGTCATATGAGTTTGATGTGTGACATGTAGATTGTGCAGAACTTACGAGTAGGGGTTTGCCTCCAGAAGGAACATCTCGGACCTGCAAGGGCGGTGATGTATCAGTCCCACAGAATGCTCTGATCTTTGACCACGACCTGCTCCACTCAAGTTGCCGTCTGCTCAGAGCTTATCAAAGTCACATTGTAGCTTGCAGCTACGAGAATAAGGGACGCCCGGAATTTTCAGTCACGGGTCGAGAAAGAAAGACGCCGACTTGGCGAAATTGAGGCGGCACTGGGCAACATCAGACTAAAGCAGGAAAGAATATTCCGGGCCACAGATGCTAACGTTTAAGGTTTCCCCTCTTTCACCCAAGAGCAAACTCGAGAAAACAAAATCTGACAACGGGAGCTGGTATTTTTAAAAAATTCCACCTTAGTTTGCAAAAAAGTGTCTAGTGAAGTTACATCTTTGCTTATATTTTCCTTCGGTCAACAGAGAAAATGAAAAGACATTATGAAGGAAAATAAAAATCGGAGTAATGAAGTTTTCATGGGAGGCGTGTGAATGAATGACTTTTAATAGTGATTTGCCAAGTCTCATATAAATAACCATCATTTTGATTTCACACTGACTGTACGATAAACAACCTCTGGTCCCATTTTCGCTCTGTTCTGGCATAACGAAACCTTTTACCCAAAGACTGAACGGAAAGCTAAAAACATGTCCTGCTACCAGGCAGTGAAACATGGAACGGCCAGCATGCACTGTCACTTTGTGGATGGCACTCGCTTTACTAAGCTGCTGCTTTAGAAAAACACAAAAACACACTTAAACACAAAAAGGGCTCTGAGTGCAGTCCTACATTAGCTGCTGCAGCCCATGTCTGGTGCAGCGAGGTGTCAAAGCATCAGAATAATACGTAAATGCTTCTGGCCCTGTAAAATCCCTCAACACTGAGGTAGTTACACTGAAATGTTTACTGACACGACGTTAATTACTGAAATGCTCCATAAACAATGCAGCACTCTGGGATACCCCAATTAAAACTGCAGCATGGGAGATGTCAAAGTGTTTTGCATGAGAGAGCCATGCAGGGGACTGAAAGTCGGCGTATCCGGGTGTGAACTCACCTGCCGGGCATGTCCAGCGCCGAGCTCCTGCTGCTCTGAGGTGTCCCCCCCCCTCCCTAGGACACTGCTAGTGGCCCACCCCTCCCCACCCACCCACCCCAAGATACCCCGTGCGGCCGATCGCTGCCCCAGTCCCAGACCG